CTGGCCAGATTCTGGTTTTTGCCACCTGAGGCTCATGCCATAAGGAGTATCTTCTCTGTAAGTGGTCCATTTGAAATCAAACTTATCTCTCACAGGGCAAGCCTTTTTCTCTATGGAATAGGTGCAGCAGACTTTTGCCATTTTAGGATGTCATGAGTTGGTTTTCCTGAAATTACTTTTGCTGACAGCTTCCCCTTGTCTGAGTCTTTCCATCCCCCAAGTTTCCTGCAGCGGCAAAGATGTTTGCTCAACTATTGCTGGACCACAGAATAGAACTCTGGGATTTGTTCCACTTGCTTACATAGGACTATTTGTGTGATAAATGGTTTAAGGAATTCATTGCCTGATAGACCAGTCTATAACTGCAGAGTGTGTGCATGTGTGTGTGTGTGTTTGTGTACAAGTGAGCATGGTGAGGGAGATGGGGGTTCCCACTGCGGTCACAAATCAGACTTTTGCCCTTTCTCTGACTCATACCAGTCTATCTTCTGCTTTCAGCAGCATTACTTCTCCATTTTGGAAGACTGTATGTGACTGACTTCTTCACCCCCACACTTTTTCAGGATAAAACACTCATTGCTACAACACTGCGGCTACTTTCAATGTTGTAATGCTGGGTTGAGAGAAAGGCTTACAATCAGAGCTTACAATAAAAGCCCTTATCCCTGCTTCTACTGCAGACTGCCACTTTAAATGTGGGCTAGATCCATAAGACAATTCTAAGCCTGGGTCTGAACCTGAGCTTGGGTGCAACCATTTCTTGTGGCAACACAATATAATGACAACCTACTCTCAAAGCTTCAGGGATACCCCTTGAGAGGAACCTAAGGGCCCTCATCTTGCAGGGATGGGGGCTAACTGCTTCTATCTTCAGAGAGGCTATGGACTCTCTGGGTTACATCTGCCTCCTGAAATAGCAACTTCATGTTGCTACAGCTGTAACTACATATGCAGAGCAAAGATTGAAGGGAGCTAAACATTAATACATATTTTGTGCATCATTAATACATATTTTGTGCATCCCAGGCTTAGCTTTCCTCTGCAGAAACGAAAAATAAAGAAGCAACCTCTTGCAGTTTCAAATGTCTGCTAAATGACAAAAATAATGTGGCATCTTAATAACATTAGCCTACACTAAACTCTATACATAGAATGGATTGTTGTATTTTATGTATTGCAAACAGTACTCTTCATCTAACTGGTGAGAGAAAGCTTATGACAATCTAAGGCACATATACAGCTTTTTGGAAACAAATACCAATTGTTTCTCAACTGTTAGTTCTTTTAGGTCAATGTCAAACAGTGCAGAACCATAGCTAGAACTGCCAGTGAAATAGGAAGAGAACAGACCTAACACTTTTCTATACTGAAAGGCTTTAACAAGACACCACAGAAAGAGCCTGTAACTCTTTCAGACTTTCATGCGTTTCTTTGTTCTGTCAGGCAAAATTTCCCAAACAGGAAAAAAACCCCAAACATGCTGTACATGCAGTGTATTTATTTTCATAAACAAATATATACTAATTCAGCCTCTAAGACCAGAACATATTTTTTTTTAAATCAAATAATTCTAATTCTTCTCCTTTGAACTCTTGAATCTTCCCACTTACATAAAGAACACTCAGTAGCTTCCTTCTGAAAAAGCTGCGAAAAAAGAGCATGTTGCAATAGTTGCAGGGTGTGTATGTGTGTGTGGCACAGATAAAAGTGGTTGCATTTCTATTACTTATTTCCATTATGACAGAACTCACAAAGTGCTAGGCTCTCTCCAAACCAATGGCGAGAAACAGTTCCTGCCAAAACAACATGAAAGAAGTGTTGCAAAGGTTGCATTGTGTTGCTTAAAAGTTAGGAAATATAAGAAGATGGGTTGCCAGTACAACCTTAATTCAACCTTTCTCTGCATATTCATTATGATCAAGTATTTAATTACATCGTCGCATACTCTTTTATTTTCTCTCTCTAGGGCCTCTGCCTCATTTAAAGTATCAGATGGGCTGAATAAGGCAGTTGTTAAATGTTCACATTTATCTTCTTCAGCACCCTGCCGTTAAGGTATCGGTGAGCATCTTGCACTACTGATCAGGCAAACTGCCTCCTCTGTGTCTGGAGTTGCAGAGGCAGGATAGACAGCTGGGACCTGGCTACTACTTCCTATATCCCAAAATGTACAAGTGCTGAAGAAGTCTGCAGCAAAATACTGGAGCAGAGAAACACACTGACATACTGGCATGAGGTTAAGGTACAAACCATCAATGGGCTAAGGTATGGCCAGTTTCTCTGATGTTCTCCACTGAAGACCTTTCAATGAAAGTTGACTTTCCTTGACACCGTGAGCTGTATGCCAAAGTCACCATCGCTGCCGAGACCTGCATACTTTACAGATGAGGATCTTTGTAAGAATTTCACAGGCAGGAAATGGCAGCAGCTCCTTTGTTATCCCACCACAGGTCTGAGATGGAGGTGGACTTGCTTAGACTGGGAAAACAAGATACTTCTCTGCATCAGCAGCTTCTGTTACCTTGTTCCCTCCCACAGGTAGGGATGAGATCCTGCTGGCAGGCACCTCACAGTGCCTTCCCCTCGATGTGACACTTAAACTGCTTGATGGCTGCACAGCAAAAACACCGAGGTAGTTCATTCCTTCCTAGTAGACTGAAGAGCCATTTACCCTTTCCATAGACAAGACCCTTTTTATACATGCTGTAACTGATCAGAAGCAACAGGAACTATATTGATCGCTAAAGAGCTTTTAATTTCTTGACTTTGCAGGAGATTTGAGGGAAACCATTTGATGGTCTCACTTTAAAACAAACAAACAAATGAAAAAAATTAAAAAAATCCAACCTATGAACAGAGCAGAAATGGCAACTCTGGATATATCTCACACACACTGCAGAACACTGGTAAGGATGTACAGACACCTATGGAGCAGCAAAAGGAGGAGCCAGATTACCAGCTCCTCCCTTCTCACAGGACAGACGGACAGCTCATGATCACTAGCGCAATATTCAGAGGTTCGTAGGGGCAAAATGGATGAGACTGTGCTCTGAAAACCACACCAACATTTTTAGTATGCTGTAAAGTTGCGAGTTTAAGCTCTCAGGATTATCTTTTGAGGGTGTTTTGCAGCTCTCCTCTGTGTATAGACAGTCAAAGAGAGAGCTCTTGGAGGCTGAGTCTCACACAGAATAGCTCCTGAGTGCAGAGAAAAGGCCAGAACTCCAGGTAAGCTCAAACACCAAGCAGCAAAAAATGGTGTACTTTAATCGTTCATTCAAATTATTTCACACGTGTATTTTTATATATTTCATTATAGAATTACTTTTACTAAAGGAGAAATCTTAGGATTTAAGTGTGCTATTATTGTGCCTTTAATGGTCTGATTTCTGATCTTTGACTGGTCAAACTGCACATGTAAATATCTGGCTGTATTTCACTTGCAACTTTGCACAGGGCAGGGCATATACCCTAGTGGAAGAGTGAGTTTTCAAAGAAGCTACTCTGTGTTTTCAACAACAAAAATAGAATAAAATAAAAATACTTTTGCTGCTTCTTTTATCTCCCCTTTGGTTTTGCAAAAAGAGACACACGGCATTGGGAGGCTTTAGATTTTACACTCTTATTGGCCATCACTAGTTCAGCAACATACATCAGTCCTCTCCCCTACCCAGGGTTTTTTCCCTTTCAAGGCAAGTGATCGAAAAAACGGGTAATTGTGTAGTCCCGAGGAAAACGATGCCGTTGAGCAGTGTGCAAGAGGTGCATGGAAGACTGGAAGTTGTGTATTTGGGGTGTCCTAAGAGAACATGGGCTGTGAGGCTTTGTCGGTGGCCTGGGGGAAGCTCCTTTCCCTGCTGGCCGGCGTGCCCTTCGCCCACGTTTGCCACGGGGCACGACGGCCCACCAGTGCCCAGAGGTAGGGCTTTAGCTCTACGCGCAAAGGACCCTGCCTGGAGCCCATCATGTCACCGTGGTCTTGCGGCCATGGTGAACAAGAGTGAGGACACAGCCACGCTCGGCTCCCCCCCCCGGCGTGCTGAGCGCAGGAGCGGTCCCACGGGGGCACTCCGGTAAAAGGGAGAAAGCCGCGTCACCTCCGAAGGCTGTAGGGGTAAACAGATCCTCGAGCACCGCCGCCGCGGCTGGTTCCAATGGGGAGGCAAGTAGGAGCACGTTCCACCGCACACACACACCGCCCGCCGCCTGCGCGGGGCCAGGCGCCGCGCCAGGGTAGTGAAAGAAGTTCACTCGCCTGCGCGCTACTCCTGCCCGCCCGCCGCTGACGTGGCTCAGCTCTCCCCAGATACAGCGCACGGCCGCCGCTCCGTCCCCGCGCCGCGGCGCCCGAACGTGGCAGTCGCCCCCGGTTGCGCACCCGCGCAGGCAGCCATCGCTGCATCCGCGCGGCGCACCCCTATCACTCTCCCCCCACCCGTGCGCGGATTATGGGCGCCGCTTTCACTCCTAGAGAGGGACTTGCGCGGGAACACACAGCACAAGCGCTACCCCCACCGCTGCCCTGACAGCGGACTCCGCAATGCGGCCGCGACCAAGCTGCGCGCACGCGGAGACACTTGCGCGACACACAAACCCCTACACCCCTCCGTGCGCGCCGGCTCTATTTGTTTACAATCGATTACGTCACCCCCCACCCCCCCTCCCGCTCGCCGTCCCCGCCCCGCAGCCTGTCGTCACAATGGTGCGATCGCCGTATTGGCGGCGGCGCGCCCCCGGCGCCGTGACGTTGCTTCCGTCTGTCGGGATCTATAAGAAGGGGCGTGCAGCAGGCAGCTCCCTTCGCCTCTCGCAGCAGGAAATGCGGGGAGCGCTGCCGCGGCCGCCGCTGCTGCCGCCGCCGCCCCCCTGCCGAAGGAAGAGGAGGCGGAGGCTGCCGCCCCCGGGATGTGAGCTCGGCTCCGCCGTTCGCTCCTCTCCCAGTTAGAGCCGTTCCGTTCCCGTCCCGTCCTGCTCCGCGCCGGTCGCCCCGCGCCCCGTCCCTTCCCAGCGCCGGCTGTCCCGGAGAGCTGGCTGCCGCCCGCCGCCGCCTCCATGCATCCCGCCCTGTACACCCGGGCCAGCATGATACGCGAGATCGCCGCGGCCGTGGGTTTCATCTCCAAGTTCTTGCGGACCAAGGGGCTGATGAATGAGCGGCAGCTTCAGACCTTCAGCCAGAGCCTGCAGGAGTTGCTGGCAGGTGAGGCGGCGTGGGGCGGAGGGAGCCGCTCTATCCCTCTCCGCCGTGGGGCCGCCCGCCTGGGACGGCGGGGTGCGGGCGACAGCTCCGATCGAAGCAGCGCCGCGCCCAGCGGGTGACTGGGGCGGGTGGAAGGGGAAGAGGGGCTGGGGCCGGTGCGGGGCTCCGTGACAGAGGCTCCCCTTTTCCAGGGATCCCCCGTCGGTTCCGAGGCGGCTTCCTCGGGTGGGGGCGGCAGGAGCGGGCTGTAAACAAAAGGGGCTCGGCAGCCCCCCCTTGGCTCCCTAGACAAAGCGTTCCGAGCAGCCTGGACATGGGCTCCGCTCCAAGGGCTCAAGCCGCCCAGTTTACACAAGGAAAAATGCTCCGAAGTTGCTATTTTTTTTTTTTTTTTGTGTGTGTCAGTAAAACTAATCGGTGGACTATGAGCCTCAGTTCCCCTTTCTTTTGGAAAATCTTTTAGCCACCTGACAGCCCTGGTTAGGATCAAATACCGAGGGTTTCTTCGCTGCCCTGTGGGTTTTGTAATCCCGAGCCTGTGTCCCAGTGCGCTTGGTAGTGTCTATAAGTAGTCTCAGACCAAGAGGGTTTTGGGTGGGAGAACACTCCTAAGGTAAGTGAAGTCACTGCTGTCTCGCCCTGGAAAACAGGCTGGGAAAGAGCAGTGGTGAAATACGGCTTGAGTCAGTTGGTAAACGCTGCCCAGCTCCTTCCCTGTTTATTTTTGGGTGTTTTTAGAACGTGAGGATCTGAGCATGGGTGTGATCTCGAGAGGAGGCTGGAAAGGTGCTTTTTCACTTCTTGGTTCTGGAGTTTTGAAGCCTTTGAGTTTTTCTGCTGCGTGTGCAATCACTTCTGTATTCTAGTTTGTTTCTGTGAATGCCAGGAAGTTGTATTTTATTCCCTTTCGATGGCAAATGTTGTTCTCTGTGTATAGTAGTGTGAAATGGTAACTTTGTACACAAGTGTTTCCCAAGGGGTGTTGCAGTTATGTAAATCATCAGCAAGAATAAAGGGTATAATGATTTTTCAGGTCGCTCAATGCTAAAACAATCAGCTTTCCCAACATCTCAAGGCGTGAAAGTTGCCAGCGAACAGTGAACACTGTCCGTCTTTTTGAACAGGGATTTAAAGAGGATAATTTTTTTTATTTTATTTTATAGAACATTATAAACACCACTGGTTCCCAGAAAAGCCATGCAAGGGATCAGGTTACCGATGTATCCGGATCAACCATAAAATGGATCCTCTCATTGGACAGGCAGCACAGCGGATTGGATTGAGCAGTCAGGAACTGTTCCAGCTTCTTCCCAGCGAACTCACTCTATGGGTTGACCCGTATGAAGTGTCCTATCGTATTGGAGAGGATGGCTCCATCTGTGTGCTGTATGAAGCTGCACCAGCAGGAGGTAGCCAAAATAACACCAACATGCAGATGGTAGACAGCAGAATAAGCTGTAAGGAGGAACTTCTCTTGGGCAGAACTAGCCCTTCCAAAAGCTACAATATGATGACTGTATCAGGTTAAGATATAGTCTGTGGATGGATCACCTTAAAATGGATGGATAAATTTGGTTTTTACTTTGGGTGGGCACCTCTGGGGATGGATTATGGAATTTAAACCATGTCACAGCTGTGAAGATCTGGCACACGTTAGAGTGGTGTACTTTAAAGTGACAGTGCCATAGTTTGGACAGTACCTTTCAGTGATTTAATAGCCTGTGAGTCAAAATGATTGCAACTTGCTAGGGAGTGAAGAAGATCTAGGAAGGGTCAGTTTCTCCAAGACATCTTACTTTAATTTCTACATCAATTTTCAACCCCAATCTGTATTTATAAAGTGATTCTCTGCGGTAGGTCTTGCAGAGTAAATTTGCACTATTACATTTATTAATTGTTAGCATTTTTGGCAGCTCAGTAACAAGACATTATTATGAACACCATAGTACTGGAAATTTTGTTTTTCAGACTTTTACCTAGCACTTACAAATATGTATAAATGTACATAAGATAAACTAGTAAGTATGACCTGGGGAAATGGTCAGATCTTTACATGGGACTCAAAAGTAGCAAGTGATCAGAATCTGCCATGGCAACAGGCTTTAAAAAGACCTTATAAAGACACTGTCTGAACTGTGGTGTTAGCACCAGCCAGCTATCTGTACATTTGCTAGCTTGTAGTTTTCTAAGACTGAGTAAACTTCTTATTTTTAGAAAGTGGAGGTCTGGTTTGTAATTTCCTTGTTCTTAATTGGGTAAAAGTCTTTTCCACAAACCACCATCTATTTTGTGAACTTTGTTAGTCATCTTTTATTTGGTAAATTATGAACTGGTGTAAATTTGTACAGTTCATGTATATTGATTGTGGCAAAGTTGTACAGATTTCTATATTTTGGATGAGAAATTTTTCTTCTCTCTATAATAAATTGTTTCCTATCTTGGCATTTTAATTAATCTCCTGTCTTGATTACCTAGGATCAGTTAAAATATTTTTGTCTCACAGTGGAAACAAAACAGGTACTATAAAGGCTTAAGAATGTCAATGGCACCCTGATGCTAGGGGACACTTGTACAGACATGGATTAATGAAGACCTCATATGTAAATGCTTGAGAAGTTTAGGGAAACACAATGATGTACATGTCACTTTTAATCTTTTAAAATCAATGTGGAAATAACTCCAGGGCCAATAATTCCAGGATATAAGGAAAAGGTACAGAAATAACATCCGCCAAAGATGACTTGAATAAATCCAGAGGATTAAAATTTACTTGGCTTCCTGATGAAGGATATAGCAAACCTAAATGTCCATTTTGACCTACTTGCTCACAAGTTCTCAGTTCTTCCCTGATGGATTCCCTGCTCAGTAAGAGTTTCTGGGGCAAGTGTCTCTTAGCCTTAAGAGCAGGTTAACCACTCTACAGAAATGTTGCTCGCCTTTTGCTTTCTTCAGATGCAAGACTTTCACTTTAGAAATCATTAAGATGGGATTCAACAAAAGGTATGTAGATCTTTTTTCCCAAACTTAAAAGGTTGGTTGAGGCCCATACTTATATTTGTGTTCAAAGTTAATGAATGATGTGGAGATGTGATTCACTTAAGCACCACACCGTCATTTGTATACAGCACAGTAGTTAGTTACACTTGAGAGGAATTCCTTACCACTTCATTTACGCTTGATGAAGTGCAGGAGTAAAGCTGAAGAACTTTCTGGTCCTTATCTCCTGTGTGCTTTGTTTTGTGAGTGTTTAATAAAAGGCCTACCCAACTTAGTCACTTCAGTAGGAGAAATGCTGCTTTTTCTCTGAAGGAAGAATAATCGTTACTTGCCAGCTGTTTAATAGCTTGAACAGAACTGAGCTTTAGACTTGCCATGCATTGTGGCAGCTGCTACTCAAATGTGAGCCTTTACAATGTGGCAATCCTAATATCATATCTAGTTCAATCTTTGTTGTCTGCTCTGTAATATAACTGATTATAGATAAGCAAAACCAAGACTGAATGCTGGAACTTTTTTTACTAATATTTTCCCCACTCTTTTTTTAAAAGCTTAGCTTTACAGATGGGTTTTTTTGCCATGAATGTATGTCAACATTCAGCACTGTAAAGTGTTGCTGGGGCTTCTGTACTATGTGGCGTAGACTGGTGAAAGCATAAGTGTTCTGAAGCAGTGAACTTTAAAGAGCTTTCTCAGTATCTGGATCTGGCAATAACATCTTCAGAAGCCTCAGAATGAGCTTGCTGTAAAGTACTGATGTTAGTCATACATAGATTCAAAGTGTAGATGCACATCCTGATAGCTTAAAAATTCTGCTACTTTTAAGATGATGCTTTCAAGTTAAGTCTGTAAGGAAGAGATTTATTCAAGCTGTAGGAGTACTCAGAGGCATTTCTGTTGCATTACATGTCCGCAGACAGCATAAGTGTAGCCAAATAGAAAGAAAAACATTGAGCTTGGCTTCCTGTAAAGCTATATTAAACTTTCATGAAGCTTGCTGCTGCCTTAGCTGTGCTTGGTATATCGTGGTGCTGCTTATAGTCTTTGCTGCTGCACAGAAAGAACACCATCAGAAAGGGTAGCTGTGTAGTTGATCTTTGACATGATCTATGCACGTTATGAAAGCATTAGCTGTCGGTACTTTCTTTTGATAAGCACAGCTTTGTAAGGCAGCAAGTATTCCATCTGCGAGGCTGGTATTGACACTGAACCAAGAATGAGCCTGCATCCTTAGATGGTTAACATTTTAGTCCTTTTACGGTAGGGTGCTTTCATTCATGGCATAATTTTCAGCTGCAGCTGTAACTAGTAATTGGTACAACCTGTGTCCTCGGAGTTGTTGGGATTTCTTCCAGCTGGAATTTAAATGTACCCCAATGTGCACACAATGTGCCCTTGTTTGATTTTGAAAGTACTTAGCATACTGGGGCAGCAGGGCATAGGAAGGACTCCTGAGAGAAATGGAGTATGTCTGTAGGAGGTGGCTGTTGCCAATCCTATGTTTTGGTGTAGGTAGAACAAACAGAGCACTAAGCTAAACACTTGTCGCTTTTGAATTTTGTTTAAGGTGCAATTATGAAACTAGCAAGGCTTTTATTTTAATGCAAACATTAGAGATGAGAGAGCACATTCAAGACCTGCTTGCCCAGTGCACGTTAGTTAAATTAGATGGACTTTCCTTATGAAGCACTGAATAATCCTGTTGTTGGTGTAAGGGCAGGCTAAGCTGTATGCAATTTTAATGTTACTGCTCTCCTTAGACTGGTGGACTGGTCTACTAAGAGTTGTTCACCATTCAGTGAATGTCTTTATAAAGTGTACAGTTGCCTTTTAGTTTATGGCAGGTGAGCAAACATTTCTTTTCCTCACAGTATGTTCTATGCATGGTATCATCCTATGCACTCAAGTTTACTTTTGTATTTCATGTTTGGTAATAATGATGCTCTTGTACAGATTGTATTTTACATATCCTGTAAGAATTTTCATCCTTCTTTTTTGCAGTTGTGTATTTTCTTCCTGTTTATTCTGGAGATGTACATCTCCAGTTATTTGGACCATGATAACTTTCTTCCTGTAGTTCTTCAGGTCATTCTTAGGTCTGAATAGAGATGAGAGGGCTTGCTTTCATTCAATTACTAATAATGCTGAATTTAGTTTTCTACTTTTCTGCTGACTCTGCAAAGATTTTCCAGTAGAGGTGTATGACAGGACTCATCGTGCCATGGGATTTTCTTATTATTAGTTTGCTCTATCAGTCTGCATGAGAATTTGGAAGTAACCTACGTAAGGCACTCTTCTGATGTGAAAATGCCAGCACCAGCCTCTAATTTGTGGTATCTCATATTGAATCAGTTCATAGGATAAAAGTCTTTCCTATTTGTCACTAAAAAGAGTCTTCTTGGATCAGAAGATGAAGTTGTGCTGTCTCGTGTCATAGCTAGTGATGACAATTCTGAAGGCTAAATATTTTTCAGCCCATATGCTCTTGACTGCCTTCCATTTATATGGGTAAAAGAGTAGCTTGGGAGATGATTTAGAAGCAGGGGGAACTGTGCTGCAATAGTAGGACCTTACAAAACAGTTTACTGATGTGCAAACCATAAAGAATCCAGTTAATGCTCCTGGAGTGGTTGGTTCGTGCTGATGCTTGTAAACATTTCTGTCACCAAATTAAGCAGATGTCACTGAACATGAACACTATGCATAAGATGTCCTTCTAATTAACCTTGCTTACTTATGCTGGGAGAATATGATCTCTTGTTATTGTACAGGTTAGCAATGAATAAAATTAAGAACATTGCTGCTTTTCTTTTTTTTTTGTGTATCTACGTAAAGCTTACTTCTGAGTTTCCATAAATCAAGTAGCACTCTACATTTACTCCACATTTTCCACAATTTCTTCTACTTGATGCCATATTTTTTTAGGGAAAATAGTTTATATTGGCAAAAGCTGCCACTCGACTGAAGAACATTAAAGCTGTTTTTAGTTTAAAGAGTGAAACATCTATAGACTGGAGATAAATAGCTCTCCAGAAAAAGGAATGTATATTTACACGTTCTTGGTGTAATAGCAGAGGTTATTTTTGCATGTTTCAGATTTACATTCCAATGTGAACATTGTGAAGCAGGATGTTAATTCAGTGGCTTTCAAGGGTTGGTAGGGCAAGCTGGGCTTAAACAGTAAATGCTGTATTAATGGTTAGCAGTGACAATTTCATCAACATAGGAATTGCAGGGTATAATTAATGTCAGTTGCTTTGACACTGTGCTCTAATGTATGGTTTCAACCTTTCTTTCAGTAGCTGTTGGAGAATGCACTATGACAAATTATTGCTGATACAAAATAGGTCAACAGTAAAATGGCTGACTTACCATAAATGAGCAGAGCTAAACTGTTGTAACTTAATGTCCAGTGGAATTTTCTTAGTGGCTAAGTCTTCTGTGCCCTTGTGTTTCTCAAGCATGAACCTTGTCTACAGCTTTTCCTAACTCCTTATTTCCTAACCACTTGATATATTTGCCTAAACAAGAAGGGATATTTCCTCCCAGCTGCTGGGAAGAAATCCACATGAGCAGTAATACTGCAGGAGTGACAGTGGATATTTGCCCTAGTAGTATTGCAGTTCTGTGACTGCAAAGCTGGCAAGGAGGGATGTCTCAAAACTGAGGAAAAAAAGCAAAACGCTGCATCTTCATTTTGAGATTTTTCTTCATTGAAAGGGACCCATGACAGTACATGAGGAAGGCAAACATGGTTGTTCGGATGAGAAAATGTAGAGTACATTTTTGCAGAGGGATGAGTTTACCTTGCGATTCCTTGTGATCAGCTGCTCAGTCTCTCATCGCAACTTGCATCAACCTTTTAAAGTTTCCTTGAGAGGTGTAGCTTTATTTCACCTCTTGGATGTCAGGAAATGCCTTCTAGCTGTGTAGTTTTTCTGAGCATTATAAAATCCAGCGTGATTTCATGTGATTTTAAGTCCTGAAATTTTATGTGCTGATTATATAACTAAATAAAGTGATAAATAAATGAATCTGTTAGTGTTGTAGGAATGCAAGGAAGAAGAACATCAGCATTCTTGGAGCAGCCTTGAATGTGTGCAAGGAGCAGCAGTGTCTAAAATGGCCACTGACAGGGGCAGGGCTGGTGATCCTGCCCAGCTTTCATGGTAGGGTTCCAGACTGCACACTTACCTAACGGGCTATATAACAAGGAGTTAAGGCTTGGGTACAGCTTCTAACTCCAAGGTCATCTTAAAGACAGATATCTAGTACCTATTGTATCATCTGCTGATACTAACTGCAATTAAAAAAATCCAGCAGAATATGCCCTTGCTGTTCTATGTTCTATAAAATGAATTTTTTATTCCTTTTTGTAACCTAAGAACACGTGTCTTTGGAGTTCTGCTGGCCACAGGTTAATTGATGAGTTTCTTGTACATTGAGAAGAATATTGAAAGACAACATTCCTTCCATGCATTGAAGTTTAAGCCAAATTTTATTTGTATATACACAGGGGCACATATTTAAATTTCTTGTATAAATATATATATGCACATACATATTCAATTGCTAGAGTATTTTTTGGTGGGTCATCCTGAAGTCCCTGCTCACTGTGATTTAATTCACAAATCATTGCAGGTGTTCTGAACATTGTAAATTCACATAGATGGAGGAAAATTCTCCTCATCTTGCACTTTTTGTGCCTTAATACATTGGTATTAACAGGAACACGTCTTCCTCTTTTTCAACTTTCTGAATGTGAATTTGCAGCTCAGCTCAATTTGCTAGTCAGTTGAGCAGATTTTCAAGATTTTCAGTAGCATTTTAAAGCAATTCGTACTTGTCAAAAGGAATGCTTGCAACATTTTAATCAATTTAACATCAGGCTGAAATGAAATAAAGCTAAGATACTGTTAGGATCTTAACTGTACATTCATACTAATACTTTGTAATGAAGAAGAGAGCTTTCTCTGGTTGCTGGTAAGCAGTTGTCTGAACAACTAGCGAAAGGTTCGTTTCGGTTGAGCCTAGCATGCTTCCCTAGATGGGTGCACCAGAACAGTTGCTTATGCCTGATAGAATTCAGGTTCTGTAGTGTGTGAATTAGAAATCTGTTTACAAGTGTGAAAGGCTGTATATCATAACTGCAATATCTTGCTGCCTCTGTGGTACACCTACTGCTACAAAGTTATGCTGGTGATACTAACCAACCTTTGTAATTCCACCCCTACCTTTAGCTTGTGTTATAATAATTGCTTTTTTAACCCTTAACTGCTTGCTTCCTTTGTCATGTATAGCCAGTCGTCTAATTCCCCAGCTTGCAATCAGCTGTTTGTAGACTTCAGATCCATAGGGAGAAAATAAGGCAGTGGAAATGGCAGTATCAGTCTGAATCATGATGACATTAAAGCAATGATAAATTTAGTTTCATGTTTATGAAGGATCTGTTTCTGTGTGACAAAGGTATCAGAGTCTAAATTTTGATGATATTTATCATAGTTCATTTGTTGTCTGGATATATTTAACATGGATGAAGCTTTTGTAATATAACTGAGAAAAACCGTGTTGTAAGTATGTAAGTACTTTTCAGAAGGACAGCTGAACAGATGTATCTGCCTGATTGTTTATCCTAATGTTCCTGTGACTATCTTCAAAGCTTGTTGCTTGCAGAATTGACAAGTCCTGCATCATGAACAGCAGAGCCCTGACTCTGAGTACTGAAAGTGATAGCTTCTGCAATTATTCAGTAGAAAAATACGTGCACTGTTCATAGAGTTTACTGAGGTTAATTCCAAGCCAAGCTGATATGTGTACAAAATGTCTCCTGAATTATCAAACTGATGCAACCCTGTGTCTAATTCTGCAGTGCAAATATGTTCATTTCCTTCTCTTGCCCCTTTTGGTACACCTCCCTGTCTATAGGAGCATCCCTTTGTAAGCAGTTTGCATTCAATAAAAGGAAGACTGGAGTTCCAATGTGATCTGCGCTTTTAAAACCTAAGACCCCAGCCTTTGCACATTCCTAATTTTACCGTTATGAGTACCATGAAGCCTTTTGACTTATTCATGTGAATACGTCATGTGCCCTTCAGTATTTTAGGAGATCAAATATGTGTCAAAAGCTTTCCCAGTGAAGCAGAAATGTGGGGTTTTTTATCATTTCCATAGGTACTGGAAGGCACATTAAAATCTTTATTTTTGACTTAAACTTTCCTCTTTATTACTGTAGAATAGAGATAGCGAATAGGCTGAAAAGAGAATGCTGCACACCTACTGCATCATGATCTCATTCTCAACATGATTGCCTTGGTGCTTGCCAGTTCCGATGTTCATGAGTCACACTCCAGTATGTGATTTGCTTAAAAGCAATAAATGTCAGTGCTTTTATTTACAATCTGCCTTTGAAGATTTGAAAGTCATAACTTTAACGTATTTTTTCTACAACTATGAAGGCTAGACGCTACCTTTACCTTTTTCTTTTAAATGAGAGATGAAAGCTTTGACTGATGTATTGCTAGGTCTGACCTAGCTGCAGTGGGTTAAGATGTGTAACTATCCAAACCCAATCCTTCCTCCACTTTGCCAGAAATTACTATCCTGTTAGGTGAGGTGGCAGAAATGGCTCTTCTGACGCTTGCTCAGAATTAGCTGAACTTGTTAGGGTTGGTCAATTTGTGTCATGTCAGACCGCAGTGCCTGAGACACAATGGGAGCCCAGTGCTGCTGTCACATCTGCTGGGGAGCTGGCAGGCTCTGGCAGACGGCTGGGGGTGTTGGAGATGTGGTGAGCTCAGCGACTGTATGTGTCACCAGGCTGCAAGAGCTAGGATGTTTAAGGCAA